TGCTCCTCCTGACCCTGCAAGCCGTCCCCCACGTAGCCGGCGTGGCACTTGCAGCGCCGGGTGTTCTGGGGCGGAGGAGAACAAGGGGTGCCCTTCAGAGGCCAGAGGAGCCGGTCTGCAAGGCCTCCCCACCCTGGCGGCCGGGCGCCCCCTGCTCACCGGGCCGGTGCTCAGGCAGTCGGCATGCTCGCTGCAGCCGCCGTGGTGCGGGCAGGCAGGCACAGGTGACCACGGGGCCCACCTGGCTGCAGTTGGCGTGCTCACTGCAGCCGCCACGCCTATCCTGGCACAGGTCCACCACTGGGCGCAGGGAGGAGTGTCAGATCAGGGACTGGAGGGGACCAGCCCTCCCACTCCCACGTGCCCACCCCCTGCTCACCCGTGCACGTGTGGCCGTCCCCTTCGTAGCCCAGGCTGCACTCGCAGCTGTTGGCGGCACGGCACACGGCCTGGGGTGCGCAGGGCGGGTCACACGCAGGCTGCAGCTCTGTCGCCCCGGGGGCCATCCCGAAAGAGCAGGTTAGCAGCAGCCCTCCTGGCCCCCTCCTGTCCCGCGTGCCCACCTTCAGGGCCTCCACCCGAGGGTGCAAAAGGCGCTACAGGAAGGCCACTCACCCAGCTGCACCTCGCAGCGCGGCCCCGTCCAGCCTTCATCACAGAAACAGGAGCCAGAGCCCCCCAGGCCCTCGTCACAGCGGCCATGAGAGGTGCAGCGGCAGGCTGGGGAGGTACGTGGGCAGGAAGAAGGCTGGCACACAGGCCCAGGGCACCAAGAAAGGTGAGATGGGGTGAGGTGGGGCAGGGCGGGACAGGGCCAGCCCACCTTGGCAGTTGGGTCCAAAGGCGCCCGAGGCGCAGAGTTCACAAGCTGTCCCTGCAAAGCCCGAGCGGCACCGACACTGCCCGCTGCCGCTCATGCCGTCCAGACACACACCGTGCCCACTGCAGGGGCTGCTGGGGCCGCCGGGGCAAGCTGGGGTAGGGTGGGAGGGGTAAGCGGGCCAGGGGCTGGCGTCAGGGCCTCCACAAGGGCACCCCAGCCCGTGGTGCTCGAGGCTCTTCCAGAAGCACTGTCCCCACGTGTCCCCACACTGCTGAGGGCCCCAGGTGCCAGCTCTCCCCACGAGAGCTATGCCACTTGCACACCCACCCTACCTCTTTGAACATTCCCTTAAGATCTGCAGGGCTCCCCAATACCTCCCCAGGACCCTGGCTACACGGGGGCTGGAGGAGCCAGTCAGCAGCATGGACGCTCACCTCGGCACTCACTGCCGTAGTGACCGGCACAGCAGCTGGGCTTCCAGGTGGTGGTGACACAGCGCCGTTGGCAGCCCCTGGCCCGGCCAATGGCTTGGTCCCAGGGGTTGGGCTCGATTGAGCCACTGCGCAATGCCAGGAAGCGCAGCGAAGGGGACCCCCAGAACTTGGAGTAGTAGCGCCAGCAGGGCACAGGGCTGCCCTGGGCCAAGAGAAGTCAGGCCACAGGCAGCTCGAGCACGCGGGGCCCTGGCCCAGGCCCGCAGCCCGCCCTCAGCCCCTTACCTGCTCCCGCGAGCCCTCAGGACAGGGCGGCTCCAGCCCGCAGATGCTGCAAGACTTGGAAGGGATGGAGATCAACGGCCCGGTCAGGGGCGGGGGCAGGAGAGGGGGCTTCAGCCCCTGCCCACTTGCCTCTGGCCTCCCTCACCAGTCGCAGCGGCGAGGTCTCAAAGTGGTCGCAGCGGGCACCAAGGCCGGGAGGCTCCAGCAGCTGGTCAATGCCGTAAGCCAGGCCACCCTCAAAGGGCAGGTGCCGCTGCACGATGCGGGCGTTGTCCTCGTCCACACTGAGCTCTCCCTGCGGGAGGACGTGGCGTACGTGGGGGTCCACAAGCACACTGCGGCCCCACCAGCAGAGCCCCTGCCTCCTGATCCCATCACCAAGCTCTCTCCCAGACTCACGGGCCGGGCCCGGCTGCAGGAGAAGGAGACGAGGTTCCCGTGCATGGTCCGGAGGTCGCCCAGGTTGGGCAGGTCAGACGCCAAGGCCTGAGCAGGGGGAGGCACATTGGAGCTGGGCAGGCAGGCTGAGCTGCAGGCCTGGGGACCAAGGCCCCCGGGAGCACCCACCTCAATGTTGCGGATCACATGACCCCGCAGGATGGCTGCCAGCTTGTCACGGTGGTCCTCATGGTAGAGCCAGGCCTGGCGGTCAGAAGGCAGGGCCTGCAGGGCTGCGTCCGTGGGCCACAGCATCGTGAAGGGTCTGTGGGCTGCGTCTTGGAACAAGGGCAGGAGGCCAGCCGTCTAGTGGAGTGGAGCAGAGGTGCGGCAGTGAGGGGCCCTCCAGAGACTGGAGTCAGGGGCAGGGCTGGATCACAGAGAGCAGGGACCCTAGAGAGAACTAGGAGGATTCTCAAGGCCACGCTTAGGCGTCGCCGTCCCAGCCAGACCTCTGAGCATGCTGCTTGGGGTAAATGTGCACACGGAAACACACCTGGGAAGCCCACGTACCCAGGTGCAGCCTGTGCACACACAAGTTCACAATGACATGCTCACTTGGGGAATGGGTGTGCACATGTGGACATGGGCAGTGTACACACACAGAACCACACGCAGGAGCTACCTTCACAAGCCCACTGAAGATCTTGTAACCGAAGCTCTCCGCCGCGGCGGTGACAGTCACGTTTCTCTGGCAAAAGACACTCATGAGCAGGGGTCGGGACAGGAGGATAGCGCGCCGCAGGACACCTGCCTTCCAGCTCCCAGGCCGATGCTCAGGTCATACCCGCGGGATCGGGGCAGTGCCCGGCTCCCAGTGTAGCACGTCGGGCGGCAGCAGGACTCTGTCGATGAAGTGCAGGACGCCGTTCACCGCCTCCTGGTCGCTGCTCACCACCCGGGCGAAGTCGTTGATGTATATGTTGCCCTGGGGGCGGGGCACGGGTGCGTGGGGGCGGGGCCTGGGTCTGAATCAAGTTGATTGGTGTGCTTAGGAGCCATGGGTGGGGCCTGAGGCGGGGAGCAGAGGCTGGGGTGGGGGGGGGCTGGGGAGTGTGCTTGGGAGCCATGGGTGGGGCCTGAGGCGGGGAGCAGAGGCTGGGTTGGGTGAGTCCTGGAGCACTATCTGGAATCAGGACGGCAGGAGGTGGCGGGGCCAGAGCAGAATGCAGGAAGGGCTGGTTCTCATCCTCACACACAGGCATGGCGTGGGGAGAGTGGGCGCTGGGCAGTGGGGTTGTAGGAGGGGGGCATGGCATTGGGTGGGGGCTAGATGGTGGAGGGGTTCCAGGTCTGGCGGTGAAAGGGTCTTGAATCAGCGAGGGGGCAGGGGCGGTCCGGGCTCACCCCCCTCTCGCTGAAGTGCAGCGGGTGCCCCGAGAGCGTGGTGACATAGCCCTGGTCCAGCAGCTCCTGGCTCTGCAGCTGCCCGCAGGCCC